GTTTCTGAGGTTCGTTTATTATTTCCACTGCATATGTTCTTCACTAGGGCTCGTGTATCCCTCAGTAGTAGTGGCATTGAAATTTTCGGACCCTCCCTGAACTGTTGCTTTAACCGTTCAGCATAGAAAGCCTTAAAATAGAAGAGGGCAACTTCGAGGCGAGAAGCATCGATGGGAAATCAAAGAGCCTGGAAAGGATCCTATTTTTTGGGTTCTAGTCCATTTTATCGGTTTTCTATTCCTTCTGTATCACTGACCATCTCTAACACAATTTCCAATAGGCTGCCATTTTAATCTGAATCCGCCTTGTGTGCTGCCTTGAGTGTGCTGTAATACTATATTTGCTCAAGGAGTCCTTTGCAGTTGCGAGCTCCTACATCTTTATTCTTATGAGATCTCTACAGCAGGTTTTTTGCTTAAGGCGTCATTTCTCGTGGCTGGATAACATAGACGTCTATAATCATCTAGTGAGCAGCTAAGATCAAACCTAAAAATGGGAGGAAGTCCCCTGCGGGATAAAGAAGATTGCGCACGAACCGGAGGGTCTTATCTCTTTTAGAGCTTAGTCCTAAACGTTTACACCTACTCGTCCTTTGCACTGGTCGCGCGCTCGTCCAAGGTGGAAATCAACAGGCAAAAAGGGATCCCCACCTGAGGCAACGTTGAGCCGGACCAGTCGTCCGATCTGGCAAGTTAGACAACGTTGGTTCGTGCATCAGTGATCATCGCCAACAATTTCTAATGAGTTGCTTTTCATTCTGAAATCCCCCTTTAAACTGAGAAAAGAGTTTTGATCGACTTTTCATTATTTCTGGATTTTCCCATAGTAGGCATTAGAAAGGACTACCATACCAGGGCATGGTAAAAGTTCGCTTTCGTCACACACAAGCTGTGTGCGCTTTCCGCGCGGCCATTCACTCTCAACACTATTTTCACGCAGTTTAGAGCCACGGTGAAGAACTTCCTCGACCGTTATTCACCTTCCTCACAATTGGGAAGTGAGACTGAAATTTCTCTTACTCGCAGTCGCTGCAGTGCTGGGCCCAGGGTGGTAAGCCCAAAAAGGCTTATAACAAATTCCGGCTAGAATACGAACGAGTTATGACTTTCTCACTTTTCCAGATTGTTCACCTTGTCCAGAACAGAGACAATTTTTCGCTTTTTTCTTTCTTCTCTCAAAGGATGGCTTCAATCAGACGGTTTATGTAGGAAAAAAGCCCTTTTCCGGTACCTTTGAGTGAAAGCACCACCAAGTCGAAAACAGAAGTTTCAAGGTTCAAGTTTCAGAAGATTTCATATGGGCTTACAAATTGTGGCGGTCACTAAAAGCGCTCGACCAGCATTCAACTGGTTCTGAATTTCTGCGGTAGTTCCGCTCGTTCCAGTGCTGCATTCTACATTGCTTGTCAGTTCCTTTGAGAAGAAGTCAAGAATTCGCAAGCAAAATTGTTTGCTAACTTCGACATGATTCGCAACTGATCGATGAGATCTTTTCTCCTCAACGTGTTATATTGTTCGGTGGGGCCAGGGAAATGAAGATAATAATAAGCATGCAAGACGTGGACCGAATATTGCTTAGGATAACCGGATTTTTCACTTTTTGTGATTCATGATTCCAGAAATTCCAGACTACGACGAAATCTTGCCAACACGTACATCGGTCGACACTGGTACGCCTTCTGCATTTCTAGCAGGCTGCATACGCAAATAAGTGAACAGGAGGTAGAATAGAGGCAGTTGAGCCCTCAACTTTCCTCAGAGGGTTCAGAATGTATCCTATTGAGACACATTCCGCATCCTCTGCTCGTTTTGTCTTTGAACGGTTCATAAACCAAAACTCGTTGCCTTCATGTCGTTCAGAGAATCGAAATCCATATGAGATTTATACAGTGGCGAGAATTCTGACGATTGAAAGAGCTCCAAGGTCCCTGAAGACGTTAATTGGCGCTCGCTTTAGCCCCGACTTCATCTCTTTGGAGTGGATTTCTGAAAGTATCCCAGTTTGAATAATTTGTAGCATTAAGGAGAGTAGTAGTTCAGTGTGCAACTGCCCACGAAATTTGATTATAAGAGTCACTAGGTACGAACAATATAGTGGTGTGGTAGCGCGAAAGGCAGTGCCTCGGTCTCTAATCGAACGGTTGGTGGTTCAAGCCCACCCAAGAGCGGAACTTTCGTTCTTCGATTGGGCCGCAATCATCTTCGCACAGATAATATGCTCACATCGAACTGCCGCGAAGAATAGAACCTAACAAGAATCAGAACGAAACCTGTGATAATGACGAATATCAGTATCATTCAACAAAGCCCAATGATATGGCGGATAGAAGGGTGTTTCATTCGAGGCTCCACAACTGAGTGAAGCGTCCGGTCGGTGAGTCTTCCCGTCTAAGTGTAAATGTTATGTAATGCGCCGTACAACGAGCAAGCATACCACATACGAGGGGATGGCGTACAGCTTGACATTTGCCGCTCTTAGAGTACCGCAGCAGAAAACCAAGAGATTCAGATGTCTATATGTAGTGATAAATTGGCTTGGGCAGCATGATCTGGAGAAAGAAACATCGTTATCCTGATTCTGGGGATCGGCTCCGGGCGCTCATGTCCTTGGGGTGGGGGGAGGGGACATTGAAGTGAGTGGACCACTCATAGAACTCTGGACTAAGCCTTAGGGAGTGCCTTAGGGAGTGGAAAGGATTCTGAGCGAGGGTGTGAGCAACCGTTGTTCTCCCTGGTGTTTATTTCCAAACCCGGGCTTAGTCCTAGTACCACTTGCCAGCGGTTTCTGAATGTCCCCTCTAAGGATGTGAGCGCCTGGTTCCGATCTTCCGCGATCGGTCCAGTAGAGCTGTAGCCGCATCTAGGAGCATTCTGCCGACGTCCCAAGGAAATGCTGATTATGATGTGAGGTGAGTTGCTCATGTTGTTGGTGAGGGGGGAGGGACATTAAAATGAATGAACCGCTCCCATTATCTTGGACTGATTTGAGGAGAGAAAGGGATTCTGGTAGAGCATGTCAGCAAACTTGTTCTCCCTGGTCTTGCTCCCTCTCTTACCCTCAGTCCCCCCTAATCCACCAGTGGTTTTGAATGCGCCACTTTGAATGCCCCCTTCCAGGACATGCGCAGACGTAAAACTAATAAAGGAAAGCCACTATGGCTTCAGTGGTCGGTCGTCCGGGCCAACCAAGCCTTCCATCCCTCCGGGGTCGGTTAATTGGTACCAGACTTGGGAGGATAAAAACACTGACTTGTACATCGGCTGGCCCCCGCAAGTCATTGTATAGGCCACATCGCATTCAAACGCCACTACGAATGTACAAATGGAAGTAGAATGCGTGCCGCATCCCAAAAAGGGATTGATCAACGGCAAATGCTTTATCCTTTATCCAGGTTGGTCCCCCGTCAACCGCCGGGACCTTCCTTTCCTTGTGTACCCCTTGCGTCATAGAATGAGATGCCAAAACTTATCGCACCCTAGGTCTGTTGCTGATTGGTTTCCCGCCTTACCATTAGTGATAAACAAGCCACTAATAATTCTGAGCAGCTCGCAGGACTTTGAGCTATCAATGTTTTGTAATGGGATAGTTGTGATAACACTCTTAGGGCTATATAAACACCTGCTTAGCACACTTCCGTTCATTCCACATGGTGCTGCAGTGGCAGCTGGAGGGCAGTGGAGGAGGGGAAGGGGGTGTTTGGGAGGGGAGGCGGAAAACCAATCACCTATGACGCAAGGGGTACGCACGGAAAGAAGTCCCGGCGGTTGACGGGGGACCAACCTGGTAAAGGATGAAGTATTTACCGATGATTACGGCCAAACCTGGGAAAGGATAAAGCATTTGCCGTTGATCAATCCCTTTTGGATGCGGCACGCATTCTACTTCCATTTGTACATTCGGCGCTTGGATGCGATGTGGCCTATGCAATGACCGGGGGCCAGCCGATGTACAAGTCAAGGTTTTTATCCTCCCATCTGGTACTAATTTACTGAAGGAGAACAAGGATTATCTTTAATGAAGTAGAAGAGAAATACATTCAAAACTGGCGGCTTTCACTCCCGTGCAGGAGAGATGGGTGCAGAGAAAGTGTGGTCTTCAAGCCCAAATAGATCTTAGGCCATCTCGCCTTCTTGAAGGAAAACAAGTAAAGAGGAAACCGAGTTTTCCCATTCGAAAGCTTCAGATAACCATTGCAATTCGCTCTAGCCCTTCATTACTTGTTTAGGATTGAAGATGTCACGAAAGTGGATTGCGTTTCTGGTGAGTGGGTTGGTCGCTCATAAGCATGGTTTTTGGTCGCCATTGGTGGAAGTTTTCTCATTATATTCGAAAGAGCACATTACAGGTTTTTGCGGTGATCCTTCACCATGTTTCTTCTGATGCCGTAGGCAGAATCGCCAAAAGAGGAGCGTCTGGTGAGTTTTTGCTCATTAATTTCTTCGATTTCCATATGCGTTTAGGCGGAGCGAAGAAGATAAAGCGCGATGGAATAAATTAGCAGACTATGGAGGGGTGCAAACCTTTACCCAAAGCCCAATACGTTTCAGATTACCTCTCCTCACTTTTCATTTGCCTGACGATGATGCTTCTCATCTATACTCACCAATTTTTCTTCTTTATTCGGACCAAGGGATAAAAGCAAGGCATTCAGCATCGGTTAGTCCGCTTTGGGATGCGCCACGCATTCGACCTCCATTCAGGACCGTAGTGGTGTTTCTTAACTGGATTCTGGTTTCCAGTGACTATGCTCTAAACCATATCATTCTTATCAACACTCACTTGCTGTAATCACTTCTGATCTTCTGATTCGATCCTCCAGCGATTGTGTTTCTGTCCCACCGTCTACTATATACTTATTGGAAGCGCCACTGCTGCTAGAGCACGCGCTTCGGATCTCGTGTTTGCGCTATTGTAGGCATAATCGGTTGTTATCACTTTGTGTCCTCCACCAAATATATTCCCGTCTACCCCTATATCATATGAAAAATGCAGCTCTCCTTCTGCCGCAAAGAAAGCGCGCAGTGCGCGAAGTTCCTGCGAGATTGCTGCACACACAAAAAAGATATAGCGACTAATATAGTAGGATTAGGTTGGCTAATTTGAAATGTCTTTTTTTGGTCAGCAACTAAAGCCTCAGTAAAGCACATCAACCTTAATATTCTCTCCATCGGCGTCAATGTCTTTACTATGCAGGGCATGGATGCCTACCTCCAAAAGCTTTTTCAGGTTCGACTGGTAGAAATTAGACTCCTAAATGTTGACGACGCCGCTGTTATCGAATCTATTTGCTGCTAAGGAGCGCTGCATCGAGTCGAAGATTGTCGGACAGCCATGCTGATGTGCTGACTATGATGGCGCAGGAGTAGAGAAAGTTCAAAATGCCCAACTCTCCGATTCTTACAGCGGGATTTTCGCGACATGTCATCTTTCGTTATCGTGCAGTAGTTTCATATGGCCGGATTTACCACGGCGCAGCATTTGGTCTACACGGGCAGGCTGTTGTGCGTAGGGTTCATCTGTAACTGCATGGCACACAATCAGCACTCCATGGTATGCCAAACTATTTGACCATGCACAAGCAGGACGTTTTTCAAAGAATGCCCAGGTCGTTAGATAACCCAACTGTCCAATCTGCCATCAACTCGCGGGCAGAGCTTTGTGATCAGGGAACATCTTTCTATGAAATGCACTCGCAACGATGTCAAGAACTCTCTTTCTGCTGGAGTTATGGGACAGATTTTCAGCACTGGCAGCCAGCACTGCTTGCACTCTTTGCCCATAATAGGTCGAATCCATTTCCTGCGCTGAAAGGCCTTAAAAGGCAGGGTCAACCGTCCGTTGGACAAAGTCCAACGCGACGACGAGAGTAATGCCGAGAGTGAACGTACGCACGGAGACACAGACGGCTCGCGGGTGGCGAGAGTGAATGCCGGCGCGGAGAGCGGTGAACATCGGTCCAACGTCGCTCCAATATCGGTCCAACGTAACGGTTGACCCTGCTTAAAGGTTCACGATGTAGTTCGCTTCAACAAGTTTACCGCTTAGAATGTCAGATTTTCATTATATACAGCTACAGATCAACATCAAGATGAAACCATAAGTGGAAGTGCCTCGGAGATTAAGCGAGGTTTCTGTTGAGTGTTTTGCACTATGAAAGGAGATTTTCTGACAGTTTTTTTGGTCCGGGTCGTACCACATGCAAAAGCGCACACCATGTTTTTGAACAAGCAACTTCGAGCAAAAGCTGCAGACCGACAACACCCGCCCACTGGCATCCATTATTTTCCAGTGTGCATTCGGTGATATGTACTCTCTCTAGTAAGTGATCTGCCACTGTAAGAGGTTGCGTTTTAGTTGAGACACTGAAACACAAAAAGCGACGTTTTAATTCAGCCAACCTAATATAATAATTATATAATAGAATGATGTCAATAAAGCTACACAGCAATTTTTCCAGACGATGCGATGAGCCTCGAAAAACGCTGTCCTACTCAGTGTAAGAAGTGTGCAAAGCTGCATTTTTGCGCAATTAAGGATGAGGGCGACTGCAATACAGTTTATTGCGTGGAGTCTGGTGATTACTGAACTGTTCTTCAATATCAAACCGTTTTGTATAATAAATGTGTGTTTTGAAGTGCCATTTGCTGGTCCTGCTTTGTTTTCCGGCTAGCTCATTTAATCCCCTTCTCGTGGAGGCAACACAGATAACAAAGGCCGCGGATTCAATGTTACCGTAATCCGCTTCGCTTGAAGGGTGGCAGTGACCTTCAAATGAAGCATCAGCACACTGCGCTTTTCTATGTCTAAGTCTTATAAAGGAAGGGCTCAATATGCTTCGGGGAGAGGTAGTCGCCGCTGACATGACATCATGACATGTTCGCGGCATGATGGAAACTCGTACATTCCAGCATTTCACGCTCGTCAAGTGACTGCCCTCACTCCACACATTGCTCCTGACTCACGAATTCCCCGCTCGATTCCGCATCTACTGAAGTACCGAATATGCCATGTGCCGTGAAGGCGACTCTCGAGTGAACAACCAATAATGACGATGATCCAAGCCGCAATTAACAGCCAAATTATGAGAACGGCTAAAAAAAACAACCTGGGAACTTCTTTCCGAGTTCTTCCTCGAACTGGCTTGCAGGTGGGGTCAAATTTTAGGGAAGCTTATGGTGATCGAGCTATTCTCATCCCACCAAGATATTAATTCGAACAAGTCAGAAGTGGTGATTCTTGTGTCTTGACAAGAACATCCCCTAGCCGCAAAATTCCATGCTAACAATTCCGAAG